ACAATAAAAGTAATCATAATTTAAGTTGCAAGCATGTATATCATTAGCAAAATATTAGCTTTTAATACATCATTGGTATGAAACATTTTTATTTGCTATAATTGTATATTATATATCAAAAATTAGATCTATGTTGTATTTGATACTTTTCAGCATATTCTCTTAAAGTTTGTTGTGCGCCAATAGTATTTACTCTGCATCGTTCAAATTCTTCATTCATCAGTCTTGGGAAGTGTTTTACTAGAATTCTTTGCATTTCAAACTTTTCCAAAAATTTTTGATAATAATAGCTGGTTTCTTCTCTTTCATCTACTTCTTTTAAAAACTCAGCCACTGTAGATAAAATAGAAGTGTTATATGGATTAGGTTGAATAACTAGTGCTTGTGAGAATAATGCTTGATATGGGTTATACAGAAATAAAAATAATAGTTTGATGCGATTGAAGCATTTGTAGTCCAAAGATCCAATTATAATTGTGTTGTAATTGTACTTGTAATGGTGGTGATAGTGATGAAAAAACTAATAGTGCTTGCATTTGTGGTGGCAGCGGTGATACAATTGCTGGTGATAGTAGTTGCGCTTGTTGTGGTAGCTTCGGTGACAAAGGTAATAAAGTCTGCATTCATGATGACACAATTGCTGGTGGTGGTAATGGTGATGACGAAGATACTGATATCTGTGTTCGTGGTGACATATCTAATTGTTCTTGTAAATGAGAGAATGTTGAAGAATTTAGTTTTTTAGATAATATATTAGTATAAGAAAAAAGAGGATACGTTGGAAGATTTTCTATTGTAGCCAGCCCTTTGTTCTAAAAAATACATAAAAATATGTAAGTAAAAATAAATATACACTAAACATTATATATAATATATATTTATATTAAATACCATATCTGCCCCCTATATCAAAAGTATCATAAAAGTGATTTTGATATGTAGATCTTTATATGCTTCTTTATGAAGACAGGATCGATTATGTAAATCACAATAGTACGTATTTCTAATCTCTAAAACATTTTTAGCGATATCTTTATCATATGAAGATAAAGATGAGATACTTGGAATTCGATTATTATTTTGAAAATTGTTTAGCCTTTCAGCATTATCATCTAAATCCAATTCCTAAAAATTTATCAGTAACATTAATTTGGCATTATATACGTATATATACAGAATTTATATACGTACGTACATACTGTACATATATATATGATGTGCATAAATATTTGTAAATTCATTATGTAACATTATGTAATCTTATATTGTAAATACAAACTTTCTTTTTTTGTTTATTTTGGGAAACAATTGATTGTGTAATAGTAATATAGATCCCAATATTACACTTTCTCGCTGCTAATTTTGTATATTCAGCTTTAAACTTGCTAAAATCTTGTGCGTTAACCAACTGAGTCCCAACACCTGCTTTTCTTCGTATTTTAAAAGTAATATGATAGTTATTTGGCATTATGGTAGTATCTTTTGATAGCAAAATGATTTTATCATAGATATATGCAAGAAATTCATCCACGGTTAATACGGATTCTTCAAACCACTTTGCGGATAGCAAAGTTCCATTTGACAATTTTACAAATAGTTTGTAACCCAATATGAATTCGGGATCTTTGTCTTTACTACTCATTTCATCTTCATCCTTA